CCCCAAAACCCCAAAACCCCAAAACCCCAATATATTTAATAAAATTGAACTCTGAGGATCTATATTTAGATCTCTTTTTATAAATTTAGTTCCTTATTTTTGGGAGAAAGAACTGTTCTCTGCCTTTATAACTGGCTTCTTTTCAGGGTATTTTCTTTTACTTCTCATTGACTGCTTGGAGGCTTTGCTTGCTATGGAATTTAGAATTCGATGATTAAAATTTAATACCTGTGTCAGACATGCTAGGTAGCATACTTTGGATTATTGACAAACCAGACTTCGAATAGTTAAGATTATCAGAATCTTCTTTTTGGGGTACCCTTTTAAACATCATTTTAGCCCTGATATTATATTGATCTTGCTTCTGTTTTGAATATGATTTATTTAAAATTTGAAATCTTTCCAAACAGGTTTGCATTAAATTTCGTTTCTAGACTATTTAGTCTAAAATACCTTCTTTCTCAAATTTGGATAGAGTTTCTATTGCTTTGTGTCTAAAATTCCTTTCTTGAGAAACACAAATTCTATTTCAATTTCTGGAAGTCTCAGGTTTAGATATTTTCGTTCCTTGACTTTCTTTGTCTGTCACCTAAGATTCTTTAAAACTTACTTAGAACTCTCACTGAAGAGCTTAATGATTTTCTATGTTCTGATTTTGCTGGCCTAATTTCAATTTTGTTTCTTCCGATCTTGGTCTTATTTATAGAAGCAGGCACCATTCTTCTAAGATACCAGTTGAAATTTTGCTGAGAAAGATACTCATCTGGTTCATAACCTTCTACAAAATCCCTTTAAAAAATACCATTTTGTTCAAGCTTAACCTCATCTTTCAAATGCATGATCCCTCTACTAAATCAATTTCACTACCTTACTTCTCCATAGTATCAATAATCTTCTTGATATCTTTTGTAATCTTGGCTATCCTGACCACCGTTTCCTCCTCTCCCTCCCCACTACTGTCACTACTAGAGTCACTATCCTCTAGGCCATCTATTACCCATAACCCTCTAGCTTACCGACCAGATGCTGGATTCTTCCCATCTAAACTGTCACTTGTTAGCTTACCAAAGTTTTTGAAAGAGAGTCAATAGCTATACGGTTACTTGGAATTTGAATACAGGGTTTTAGGCTGGACTGGTCTAGAGAGGAGGTTTAGAAGGAATTTACTGGTGTGATTGACTCTTTGGGACCTTGCTAAGTGATTTTTGGTAGTATTTGAAGATTTTCTTTGACAGAAATTGGTTCCTTTAGGCTTCAAGTATTTTGATTTTGGGTTATGTGGTTTTAACGATGCTTCCCCACTATGCATTTTCTTTTTAGGAACTATAGATTGTGAGCACCAAGTTATCTAATTAAGAAAATTTATATCAGACTTACTTGAAGAAGGGGTCAGAGGGATAGATCTCACAGAATATTTAGTCTTAGAATGTTTCTTAGGAATTCTGATTCACATCCCTGGCTTATTTATTTGTAGGATTTAGTTGGTCCTGGCTCAATCCCATACCTCCTATATAATCAATAAAATACTTGAAGAGATTATATTTCCTTATTTCCTTACCGTTAACGTTAATCTTTGAAACAAGGGTGCTTATTTTTCTAAGTTTGTCGAAGGAACAAACTTTAATAGCTTTTAAGGCTGCAAAGCAATTAAAGAATTGGTTCTTTACAATTACGTTTGTGTCTATTATTCTGAGAAGCTTGTTCTCCATCATTGTCTGAGAGTCAATTGTTTTGATAAAATGTTCACCTGGATTACGAACCGTGACCTTTATTGATTTATTTATGCTCCTAAATATTAAAAGCTATTTTTACTATTTTGTATAAGTCTCTTCTGGATTTTAGGTGTTCATAAAGATCTCGCTTATCTTTAATGTGGGCATTTAGGTATTGGTACTGTCCAGTGCGTGAATTCATTTCAATGACTGTTTCAATTCAACGAGTAGAAGCACCATACAGGTCATCTTGAGTTAGATGTTTACATTCATCCCATAAGGTTTCATATTTATGGAGGTCTTCCATAAATATTTTCAAGTACTCTGAATATTCAAAAATGTCTTCATTGTATTGATATTTGTAACTGAGGCCTGTTTTTGGGTTTAATAACCTAAATTTTGAACCTTGTATTACTTCTTGTGATCTTGGAAAAGAGACTTAAGTTGGTTAAATAATTGGATTCGAGAAGTGCTGTTGAAGGTAAACTTCTTATCTCCTCCTTTCTTGTTTGAATAAGTTGAGATATGTAGCAAAAATATGAGCTTGTCAATCATGCAAAACTCTTTGCTCAGGTTTTTAACTGTTCTGACGTCACTTTCATGCTTTAGCCTAAAAGTAGTATCTTCAGGCTCAAAGGACAATGCGAGATCTGTATTATTGGCAGTATACTCATCATTAAGATCCGAAAGTAATTTTTGTTTTACACCTTTGAGTTCAATTTTATCTTTTAATTCTAACTCTCTGATTGCTTGAACATTGTTCCTACTGGAAACAAGAAAGTTTATTCTTTTGAGAGTATTCTCTTCTCTTTCATATGCAAGGATTTCAGGCTCGATGGCATTAACTTTTTGTGAAAAAACTCTTAGTTCCTCCTTAAGTCTTTCTTTAATATTAAGAAGTTGCTTTTTGTCTAATTCTTGTCCCTATGATGTTAGTTTTTATATGTATACTTTCTGGTCCCATCAAAATTGGGAATCTATTGAATTCTTTACTTCTCTTAATCGTTTTGCTGCAGGTTTGACAATAATTTTACCTAAAATTGGTTTTTGCTTTTCTTGAGGGTGAGCATTTGACAGGTACTCCATCATTTTCCTTTTTGTTGATTTTGCTTTTGCTTTTGCCTTTTTCTATAATATTTTTAATCTCTTGAGCATAGATCTAACTCAAAATTTCTTTTGGTAGATTTAAAAATGATTCCAATATTATAAAGTAGCAACTAAACTATTTGAACTTAATTCTGTTAATAACAATTAAAGCATAATTTTCATTTGCTCTTAAATTCTAAATTTGCTTACACGCTGAGGACTCCAAGGGGGGAGGTCTTCAAGTTCCTCCTGTATAAAGGCATTCTCTGTCAACTTGAGGTGAGCTTGCAGATCTGTGTCGTACCCAATCTCTAAATTATTTCCTATAGTTGGGATACCTGAGACTTTATCAGAGAATTTGTCATTGAAGTTGATTGCTTTCCAGATCTTTAAGTCTTTATATTTGAGCTTTTGAAGCAGCTCTAATTTCTTCCTATTTTGATTTTGCAGGTAATCTAGCTTATTTTTGGCACTAGTGGGTGAGGCAAGGCTTACTCTGAACTTTTCTCTTTCGTAATGAGAGATCTTTCTGTCATGGGATAGTTTTGACTTTGAGACTAGAAATTTAAAGGCAATTTTACAAAATTTTAAGTTCCAAGATTCAAGATAGAGGGAAGCACGAAGCTCGTTTTTTCTCCATGAAAGCTGAGTGTCTTCAAGAGGAGTATAATCTTGATTTTCAGTACTCTAAGATATCATTTTTAAGTACCTCTTCTAGTGTTTTTATATCAAAGCTTTGCAAGGTAGCATTCCTGTAGAGATTAAAGAGGGCTTACATCATCTCTTTATACTTTACTTCTGTGATGAATGTGTTTGATCAAACTTTAGATGGTTTAGAATCTACTGAACTTCTGAAATATCGATGTCTACTTCCTAATTTCTTCCTTCTAGAAGTCCCACTAGCTTAAAAGTTATAAAAAGTCTTACTGCTTAATTTGTTGCTACTTTGAGGTTGAGCTGGGATTAGATGACTAGAAGAGTTATTGATCCTTTTGGGTTTCACAGTATTCAAATCATTATTTCGGACTGTTAAAGAAAGAGAATCTTGATTTGTACTCATTCTTAATCGATTTTCTAAATGCAATTTTCACACAATTCATACTCCTTTTGGGTTGTCTTGAAGTATTTAGCCTCTGCTTAACTTTTAAATTCTTTTGGTTTATATATTTCTCTGAGATGTCGATGTCATCAATGATGTTATCAACTACCTCTTTTGTTTGGCGCAATGTTTTTGAGAGGGATTTTTTATACTGATTTGTCCCCTTGCTCATGGACCTATACATCTTTGCATTCATTTACCTCTTTTTGAATCCAGATAATTCCATATTTAAAATTAAATTTAAGTTTGAGATGGGGTTTTGGGGTTTTGGGGTTTTGGGG